AGTAAAACCACTATTACCAAAAAAATAAACAATATAAACATAAAACCCCCCCCCACGCTGAAAAAAAAAAACAAAAAAAAAAAAAAAACGCACACACACACATGTAGTTGATGAAGCTCTGCGCGGCTCTGAGATGGACGACATGTTGCATTAGTGTACGACCTGGATGCTCAAGAAATCACACACACACAGATCAAACAGAGTTTAGAGGAGATGCAGGCTGAGCACACAGCTTCCACGGCCCGACGCGCTCTCCGACAAGGCCCCCCTTTTTTTTAGGTTCCCTCCTTCCCCTCCAAACCCTGTTGGACAAACATGCAGAGCTTGATTATGAGTCAGTGCGACTGTAATGGCTGCGTTCCACCGGAAGGAAAGAGTCCCCCCCCACCCATTCAAACCCTCTTGCTGTATGGGACAGAGCGATAGTGTTCATGTCAATGCTGCAGCCGAAAGGTTTGATGCAAGAGAGAGGACGATCACACTGAAGCACTGGAATGACATCGGCCCCTATGTCACTGCATGAGAAGCCCCGCCCCGCCCTCCCAAACCTCCACGTTGTGTGTGTGTGTGTGTGTTTGGTGGCATGCCCCTCCCGCCCCGGCCCAGCCCAAAGTCCCTCCTCGAGCAAAAAGCGGCATGCAAGCGTCAGTGAGGACCCCGGTCGGTCAGCCCCCATGCTGCTGCTGCTTGGCACCGTTACCTCCTCCAGCGCGTCGATCAGGAGCCCGTTTTGTTTGTAGCGCATATAGGCGTTAGTGCCCCGAATCTTGGCAGCACGGATTCTAGCGAGGCGAGTTTTCTGTTTGAACAAACAGAACCTCTGTTTTAGCCCCTGACGGTCTGTCTGTCTGTCACACTAATTGGGTCTGTCTCTGCCTGACAGCAACAGAACTGGGCAGGGAGAAGTTCTGCTTAAATCTGCAATTAGGAAAAACTCTGCCTTGGCAAACACTTTAAGTGGGGGGAGAAAAAAAAATAAAATAAAAGAATAATATATATATTTTTTTAAAATAAAAAGCTGCTGACATGATAATCTGTAGATATATGCTTTGTTTAGGCTTCGTCATTCCCTTCTGTTATTTCTGACTCCCACTGAAATACATTCAAGCAAGTTGAGGCCGTCCCGATGCGAACATCCACATAAGCACAATAAAAGATTAATATTCTGGAAGATAGTGTTTGCCCCGTCATTCTGTTACAGGCGGATAAGACAGCGACAGAGGAAAAAATGGCAGAGAGAAGCAAAACAAACACTATAAAAAGAAGGGAAGAGGAAGGAGAGGGGTTGGGGGCCTGGGGGTGGGTCAGTACCCTCTGGGCTCGTCGTTTCTCCGCCCGCTGGCTTTGGTGGTAAATACGGCTGAAGTTTGACACTATCACAGGGACGGGCAGGGCGATGACCAGCACCCCACTCAGAGAGCATATGGACCCAAACACCTTCCCCACAATCGTCTTTGGCACCATGTCACCGTACCTGAAAGACAGGAAAAAAACACACATCACTGTAAACAGACACACAGGAGAGAGACTATGTAACTATATTATTAGATTATCTAACTAAACCTAGCAAAAGTACTCCTGCCTTATGATATTTTTAAAACACAGCTGCTTAACAAACATAACATTTCAATGCGTTTTATATGATGAACCAGCACAAAGTAGTGAATAACTGAAGAGGGGGGATAAAGGAGGCATCAATTCAATGTTTTTATGGGTTTTTTTTAACAAATCAAACACGTGGATCACTTTTGTTTGATGAATACTAACACCTCATCGAACCGCCTTTCGTTGCAGATTAGAGCAGCAAGTCTTTCGGGGGGCATGTCTCTTCTAGCTTTACACATCTACGCTGACATTTTACCCGGCAAATCGCTGGTCAGACTGGAAGGAGGTCATCTGTGCATGTTGACACTGGTGACCTCAACGTCGGTGTCATTTACATTTTCGTCTTTACGCGAATGTTCGATTTGATTTAGATCTAAGTTTTGACTGGGCCGTTACAACACATTAATCCAACATTCAATTAGAAAAGGCGTTCAGACGATGCCTTTTCGTCAGATTGAAAGTACCTTTTGAAAATAACCTCTAAACCAGTGTGCAGCATACTTTTTATGCTTCTCATTTCCGTTTTTAAAAACAGCCTTTTTATTGTAATATTCTAATTTTAAATGCCATGTTTTTATTGCCTGTAAGTGGGAAATCATCATAATTAACAGAAATAAAGGCTTTTAAACATTCATCTGTGTCTAATGAATCTCTGAACTGTGTTTCACTTATTAATAAAAGTTCCTGAAGTAAATGGAATGTTAAGACACATTTTAATTATTGAATGGTTCTGTATGCCTTGATTTTAACTAGGTTTGTCCAAAGTGCAACCATTTGTTGCCCTTTGCATAATTTAGTGCGACTCCCCTAACCACAATTCAAGAATGGCACAAACGTAGCCTGGCTGCACAGACGAACTTATTCTGTTTGTTTGGACAAGGTTTTTTTTTTTAAGAGTGCACATATCTCGTTCTTGTTGCTGAGAAATAAAAATACATATTTTTAGACAAAAAAAAAAGGAAAAAATAGGAAAGCAACACAAAACATGTAGGAAAATGTATGCCTGTCTTATTAATGTAAAAACATAATGTTACAATGTCTATAATGTTCAAAAGCTATTAGCTTGATAAAAATATGACGTGTAGTTTATTGCTCAGGAGCTAAAAAAAACAACAATTGTATGTTCAACTTTCTCACCACTGATTTCCTTTGGTAGTGTCAGAGTAATGGGGGATGAACACAAATGCAGGCCAATTTGGATTTTTATTTGCAAATGACTTTGGAAACCATGCATGATTTCACACCTTGTCCGGTTTAAATCACAATAGAAAAAAAATACTACAGAGTTTGTGGATGTCACCTCAAAACATGTAAAATTTGGGGTTGGGAACACTTTTGTCAGGTACTGTAGCTGCTGTGTGTTTTTCATGTTATTTTAGGAGTCCTGAAATAGTTACACTGACCTTGGATTATTTCACAACTTCAAATAAGAAGTCACACATCAGAAGCGGGCGAGGAATAAATAGGACTTCTCTGAAGACTACTTGTCTTGGCCTACTTTTCTTTCTGTGCCACCCTCCTTTAAAAACCCTTTTTTCATATACAATTACACACCTGCTGGCAGCGGCTAATGCCTTCACGTCGTGACCAAATGCGCTACACATCCTCCGTGACCTCCGTTAGCCAAACAGCTTGTGAAAGATACGGGGAGCGGTTTCACATCGAGCGCGAGCGAAGAGGGGAGGGGCGGTGGGCTGAAACCTGGGGAGTTTTGTTTGAGACCGTGCTACTGTGGAGCTTTGTTCTGTATTGTCATATTAAGACAGGTTGTGAAGGATGAAACGCAGATATGGAGTGAAATCAAGTGTAGGAAAAAAAGAAAAAGAGATCAGAAGCTTTTGTACATTTTCAGTAACCTTCATCGGATTGTGTTTCGTAGCACAAACGGGCTTTCTGTGATGAGAACAATTTAAGCATAATACCAAATTTGTGTTGCTGTGCTATTAGAAAATCAGATGTGATTGTGCTGAACATAAAACTCTAGTTTAATCAGAAATTTCTTTTTTTTTCCTGCATACCTTGGTTCAATCTCATCTTTTTCCCCATTTACAGACTTTTAACGTTTTTGATTTATTGTCACTCATACATAAATGTTTCTAATCAAAGGGAAAATGGTTTTCCAAACCAAGCTGACCCTATGTGAGAGAGTTGTCCACCTAAAACTAATAACTGGCTGTGCAACTCATGGCAGTAACAACCGCCATCAAGCATTTGTAGTAAAAAGGCAATATGCCTTTACAGCTCTGTGGAGAAATGTTGGTCCACTCTTGCTTTCAGAATTGCTTTGTTTGAGCCACATGGAGGGTTTTTGAGCATGAACGATCTGTTTATGGTTATGGTTACGTCACTGGATTGGAGTCCAGGACTGTGACTTGGCCACTCCAAAACCTTCATTGAGTTTGTTCTGGGGAGTGGCGGGGTCCTTTAGTCGCTCAGTCATGTCTGCTTCGGGTTAATGTTCTGTTCTATAAGCCTAATGTCACAAACCAATGACGGGACTTTATCCTGAAGCAGCAAAGCACCTCCTGACCATCAAACACCCATTCCCATATTTACTACTAAAAAGTCGGTTGTTTTTCACCAGATATAAAAAGAAGCACAACTTTATGTCCCACTTTTGTCTCGTTAGTCCACCAGATTATCTCCTGAAAGTCTTGAGAATCATCAGGATGTCTCATGGGAAACATGAGGTCTCTTTGGTCAGCAGTGTTTCTACCTTCAGAACGCTCATTGTTATATTTCCTATTGAACACCAACTTTAACTGAGACAAGTGAGGACTGCAGGGCTACAAACGTTGTTCTGAGTTCTTCTGTGACTCTTGGATGATGGACTTTTGGAGTACTTTCAGAGGTCAGCTTTAGGACTCTGATAAAACAAATTCTACTGCTTTTTACAAAAATAAGTAATAGTTTTAAATCCAACCTAAAAAGAAAATATCACCTAATTACCCCTATTTCTGAATAAACATGTATACAACCTGTATCAAATGATGTGTTTGTGTGTTTACCAAAAATAGGGTGAAATTTCAAGCGTTGGCACAGAGGACAGAAAAACTTTTCCGTAAATTTCTCTAGTTTGACCACTTGACGAGTGATTGCTGCCGCACTCAAAGCAAAACAAATGGAAGACATTAAATATGACATCACACTGGTTTTTGAAACAGGTAAATACTTCTGCGGGTGAAAGCACTTTACACAACTTCACACTCTTCCTCCATCACAAAACAAATTGCTGACACTTCTAACTCTGACATTCCACCTGAATTCAGACAAAATGAAGGGCCAAGAGGATACTTGGAACCCAGAAAAAGGTGTAGGCGTGACGAGAAGAAATAGGATTCAGCCCTCGAGTGACAAGTGCAACCGGGAATAAAAGAAACACATTTATCTGTAAAGGGAAGAACGTGTTCTCACCACATTGGCTGACGTAGTTATTTGAAGAAAATGAGCAAATCAGACTGAAACCAAGAAATCCTTTGCAGAAAGCATTCGGACGTGTGTTGCTTCTTTTACCAGCGGCCCTCTGTTGACGTGGTAGGCCACAGGCAACGCCGAGATTCACATCCAGTGCACATGAATGATTCAGGGAGTGTATGTTTTCCTTGTTTCCGAAGCCTTCCTCCAGACAACCAGCAGTTTGTGGGATTGCAGGTGGGTGAGATGAATGATCTGGACCCTAATGCGCAAATGACCTGAGAAGACCATTACCTCCAGTGAGGAAGATAAATGCAGGTAGGAAGGGACATCAGCACTGCTCAGCGTCTGTGACAGCGCCACGTCTCTCAACTGAGGCGGCGTAATGTGAATGTATCGCTACACGGGAGGTTGACTATTTCATAAATGAAGTTGTCTAATGCCCACAGCCGTCTGCCTGAGTCATTAGGCTTTTGGGTTTCCATCACGTTGGACCCGGCGGCCTGGACTTCGACAAAAAAAAAAAAAAAGATGTAAAAGTGGACATTTTAATATCACGCTCCATAGGTTTCGTGTACAACAGTTTGCTTTCAGGTCGACCAATCTCACACAGATGTCATTAGTTTTACAGATCATTACAAGTCAAATAATTTTCTTATGCAGTCACAGACGAGACCTGACAGCTTGTGTCAAATTAGCTGATTCTGGATGTTGTGTTTATATTTAGCTTTCTGTTACTCAAAAACGCTAACTGGTGGCTGGGATTGGCCAGTATCAAAGCTGCCCAAGCTTTTAACCCTTCGCAAGCTGGGCTCCTTAGAGCCAAGACTAAAAAATGATAGCAACTGTTTCTAATCAATTTTGATTTTCTGTGCCGTCCTCAAGAGTCGCCAGAAATCTTAAACTGTTTCCATTCAGCACATGCAGCATGGTAGAGTGATAGTAGGTGCATAAAATACCTGTACTGAGTAGAAACCAGTAAACTGTAAAACTTTGAAAGGGTTTCAACTCCAGGGAAATCAAAGCAAAACAGAAATCAAACACGTACAGCAGTGTATTAAAAAATGCACTTTGAATGGGAGTAATTCTGAAGTAATACTAAAGGGACACTCATTTCTCCAGCTAGTTTAAAAGGAACATGAAAGAGAGGTGAGAAAAAAAAAATACTTGGAAAAAATAAAATTCACCCCAAACATATAAAGCCTGGCCAAACGTTAAGCCATATCAAAAGATAGGGGGAAAAAAAAATGGCAGGTTAAAAAGTAACACTATGAAAATCATTAAAAATACCCATCATACCGTCATTAAGGTTTGGTGTTCTTTCAAAAAAGATGAAACATGAAGTTTTGCTATCAGTGACGTTTTCTCCAAAGCTGCATCCTGGTTTTGACGTCACATTTCGTCTTTCTTAGAAAAAAACAAAAAAACAAAAGTTGGCTGTTGGGAAAGTCACAG